GGCTGTTGAGCGAACGAGTGACTAATTAGACTGGATGGGAATCCCCAGGGTGACAAATGCCAGCCTCGGTACCAGACAGGAGGGTAAAGCAGAGTGCAGCTAAGTGCCAGGGTCCATGCAAATACCGATCAATTTCTGTTATCGATTCTGTTAATTACTGGGGTTTTTTTATCAGCAAACCAGCCACCAAGATGCATCAATCCAAGAGCAATCTCCCGATTGGATTCTTCCAGCCATGGATTATTTATTTACCTGGATAAACATCCCGTGAATAATCCAGGAGATAATTTCCAGGTGGTTGGACGTGAAAATATAAACCCGGATGATTTCTCCAAGACGTCGAAGAAGTCTCTGAGGAGCACTATTCAACCTGGGTTGGGCGCCAGCAACCCAGATTGTTATACACTACCTACCATGGTTGTTATGGTTGTTATGGTTATAACCAAGCTTCGCCAGTTGGAAGGACACGATTATTAAAGACCGATAGCGATGTATAAACAGGAGGTTAAACCGCAACAGTGTCCATTGGCGTAGTAAATCAACAAGTTGATGCCGGTGAGCATATTTTATAGGACTGCTCGTAGATTTGGAAATCAATAATGTATCAGCATTTTCAGTGGAGCACTTAAGTAGATTGTTTTTGGTTATGGCCAGTCCTGCGACGGATGACGGTACAATGGGCCACTAAAACACTGGATTACTTATGAAGCCCTGCATCACTGGTCTACATCAATTGATTATGCAGAAACTATCCTACGCGTGCAGAGTCCAAGTATAATGCCGAACGCTGGAACAGGTAACTGGAGTCTACGAGCGGTTGTAACGCGGTCGAGCCTTTATTGCCCACTAACTTCCTGTCGTACGCTCGACTGACCAGTAATAACCATTACCAGCGGGCAGCTTTACGAGCCGACTTAAAACTTAACTCCTACGACGGCTACTCTGCTCTCCAATCACCATTTTCCGGCTCTTCTGGATACTATCGACGATAATAACATGATACCAGCCTTGTCAAGCTCTTTGGCTACTTAAGCTCTTGGTAGGAAGTGGGGAGAGATACTTTGAATATCTAACCAGCTGATAGTCACATTTTTGGTCCTTCTAAGTAGCTATTTCGTGGTAAAATGCATCCGATGGCTGTTTTTATCAAGATTTCTTGATCCCATACGGTAACAATGCATTTTACTTCCTTAAAAAAACCATTTTAATGCCCTAAAATAAGTCGAAAGTCGTTTTAGAACATTCAATGGATATCTAATCTACCCAATATGTCATTTTAGCCTTTTCAAGGACCTATGCCTTAAAAAAAGTACTTTCTAGCTTCTTATTGCAAATCTAAAAGAGGTTTGGAAAATTCCTAGCCACTCCCGAGGTGTGATAAATTTATTTTAGTGCCAGTAAAATAACCAAAACAAGCTTAGATAGACATCGAATTGACGGACAATGTCATTTTTGGTCATTTTAAGGACCTAGTTCTTGATAAAATGCATCTGATGACTATTTTCTCAAGATTTCTAGACCCTATAAGGTAGGAATGCACGTTACTAATGCAAAAAAAACAATTTTAGTGCCCTAAATTAGGTTTAGATGATTCGATGGATATCTAATCTACCCAAAGTGTCATTTTAGCCTTTTTAAGGACCTATGCCTCAAAAAAAGGACTTTCTAACTTCTTATCGCAAATCCAAAAGAGGTTTGCGAAATTCCTAGCCACTTCCGAGGTGCAATAAATTTATTTTACTACACTTAATGGACCGCCGCGTTATTTTGTTCCTGGAATATGGCAGTATCACAGTGAAATACTTGACAAATGATGTATTTCTATGCAAAAACAGTAAACAGCTTAAACTTAACCTGAAAATCTATTCCCTCTTTGTACTTTTATGGATTTCTCGGTGGAGTGTAATGCAGCCCTCGGGCGGTGTTGAAAGCCATCGCTCTAAAGTACCAAAAACTAAAAAACTGTAAATTCTAATGGAGAATAGAGAAATGTCCGTAATTTAGACAGGTGGGGGCATAAAACTTGTGGATGACAGAGCCCATACACCCTATTTGAATAGTTATTTGTTCGAGCAAGCAAAGTGTTTTATTTCAACTTTTAATTTACAGCGGTACATTTGTTACCGTAAGTGCGTCTGCGGCCAAGTGCTCCGCCGATAAATTCACCCTCAAGGACGCTGGAAAATATTCTCCCCACCACTTGTTTCTCGAGCGTTGGGATAACGAATTGTTATCGAGATTACCGGTGAAAAAAAAAAACCCGCGAATCTTTTCGTTCTGCCTTGACTTGATTGAACTGTTTCTTGGAGACTTGTTAAGCAACAAAGGGCTTCATTATGTTATGCTGCGACGGATGTATATTGTATATACAGACTCGAGAAGTGGAACGGTCGTTAATGCAGTAATCGGGCGATCGCGATAGTTTAAGTTCCGGTTTCGGGCCCGAAGAATTGCTCCGGATTACCGGGAAAACTGAGTCAGCGTTGACGGTAGCACTCCCAGCAGTACATTCCGGGCTGATAATACGGAAAATCTTCCACTCCCACCGCCTGACGGTGAGATAATTCCTCTTTAAATATCGCCGTTACCTTTTTCACAGTTAATGCTCGAGTATAATTACCGATTGAGACTTTTAGATCCGATTAAAAGCCAGTGGTTTTCGAGTTGGAATATAATGTTTTAATTAAACTGTTATTTCTAGGTTAAATATTAAAAATATTTAAAAATCATTATACCTAGCTTAAAGTAAATTTAATTCTCTATCGAAAGTATCCTTGTCATTTTTTCGATACCTCTTATGGTTTAGCCGTAATTGAAGTTTGAAACTCTAACATCAAATCTCACTTTTTAAGGACCGTCCTTAAAATCAAGAAATTTAAAATGCGATTCCTGGGTTAAATATTGAAGATACGAAAAATTTATAAGAAACCTTTTTTGTAGAGAATTGAATTTCCTATCGAGTATTGTTGTCATTTCTTTATATCTCAAGCAACAAAACAATAAAATGACTTTGAAGAAAATTCGCGCAATAATTCACTTGGAATGTCAAAGAATTAAAAAGCCTCAAATTGTATTATTATGTAATGGCACATATATCTTACGCTTATTATTTAAAGCGGAAGAGAATGTCACAGTACAAGTAGGGTGTTACGTGAAATTTCAGTAACGCCGACGGCAGCCTTAAGGGATGCCCATAAATTGTAACGAAATAAAAAATATGATGAAAATAGAGCTTAAATTTGGAATTTTCATAAGGAAATATATTTTCTCAGGAAAAAAGGCGGGTTAGGTATGAGGTTTTTTGTTTGCTGAAAATATCCTCCCTTTCTCTAACACATTAGATCTTTAGAGAATAGAATATAAGCTGGTCCTTTTTCTTTAGTTTTACTTATCCAGATCCTTTAACAAGTAACCCCTGGATTCTCGTGCTGACAGAAAAAAATGCTGACTCAACCCTCACAAACGTCTGCCAGATGTTCTCATTTCAATAAGAAAAAAAACTTACACAACCTCGGTTTTATTTTTTCCCTTTTTTTTACCCTAATTTAAAAAAATTTTATTTATTTCCCGGACCGGTTAAAAAATTCTATTACCTTTTTTTTACAGAAATAATCCCGTGTTCAACAACTATTTGTTTTTATTTTAAATCGTTTATTATTTCTAGACTACCTTGGCTCCGACGACTTTATTGTTTTAATTCCTGGTAAAAATGCAAATTATGCTAAACTCACTGCTTGCTTTAAAAATTAATCCACGCTGAGATTTCTCGGCGCTTAATAAAAAAAAAAAAAAAAAAAAAAAAATACTTTGCCCGGGACTCGAACCCTGCATTTCCGGGCACTTAATTAACGATTTTCACACTGCGCTACGACAAATTTGGTGACCTAACTCCTTTTATAAAATTTTTTTTTTCAATTTGTTGCGTTTCAAGTTCTCTTTACTATTTTCTGGTCTTTTTTTAATTATCTTGGTTCTAAGTAGAAAAATTTTTTTTTATTTTCTATTATCGTTTTATATACTGCTAAATAATTACTAAAATAAATAAAACACCTACTTTAACTTAATTAAAAAAAAAAAATTAAATCTAACCCAGGATTCGAACCTTGTATTTCTGGGTACCTATTTTATGGCTTTCAAGCTTCGCTACATTAAAATTGGTGACCTAACTCTTTTTATAAAATTTTTTTTTTCAATTTATAGCATTTTTAATCCTCTACAATAATTTCTGGTCCTTTTTTAATTTTCTGGTCGCGATCTTTAAAATTTTACAGAAAAAAATAAAAAACACTAAATTTTAATCATGTCTGACCATTTTGTAAGAATCCAATACCTTCTCACGGCGATTAATTATTCTTAATGTAAATTTTCCACTCGATTTCTTTAAATTCACTCTTGAAAATAATAGCCAGGAATCGAGCTGAGAATATATTTAAATTCTGGTCTGGATGTTACAAACTTTAATTGAATTTTTAACCCAAGATTTATTAAAAATAAAAATCTCCGCATATTTTAATAGTAATTTTGTGGGAATAAATTAACAATAAAAAATAGTAAATAACCGTGGTATCCGTAGCATGTGGAAATATAAATAACTTAAATGGGGTAAGTTTATAACTGACTGGTTCGAAAGCAGGAAAACCAAGGAAACGATTGACGAGAAAAGTTGAAAATAACGGAGAAGAAAACAAGAATAGTGTCTAAATAATTGAAACAATTAAAAATCTTTTGTTACCGAGACTACGCGGAATTATATCGACGTTGAATAAAAGGATTACGTAATCCGGAATTAATTGGATCAATGTTCCGGCGACAAATGTTCGTCATTGTCTTTGAGCTGAGCTGCTAAATAATTTACCTTCTGGATTTTAACGACGGAAATCGGGGAGTTATAAATCTGACAGATTAATTGCGAGTTTTTTAGTGACCTGGATTATTAAAAATACATTTTTTTAATTACTAAAAATTAATCTTTACAATATTATTAATAAAAAAATTTAATTATGTTTTCAGGTTTTGGCTTCGTCACATTTCAAAGCGAGGACGTAGTCGACAAAGTATGTGAGATTCACTTCCACGAGATCAACAACAAAATGGTGAGTGTAATTCTGATGATTTCTAAGACCATAAAGCGATAGTTTGTGCCCGAAAATGGGATTTCGTTGGCGAAAATCAGTGTTTGCTGTTGAAGCCAAGACGGAACTAATTTAGCTTATAATCGAGGCATGCTTGCAGTGGTTATTTGTATTTGTCATACAACCAATCCAGGAGAACTCCAGAGAGTTGACCATAAACCAGTAGCTGGTAACAATTATGACGGACTAGAGTCCGTAGTTATTTGACTGGTCCATAGCCTCAAGGAAGTTTGGTGACGCAGAATATCGAATCTTGACCAAAAGGGAGCCATATTTTTATTGTTTTGTCAATAGACAAGAATTTTTTATGTTTTTATTGTTTATATGCAAATTTTTTTCTGATGTGGCCTGATATCGTCAGATATAACCTGATCTGGTCATATGACCAGATCATATGACCTAATCAAGCCTAAAATGAACATATCAATCCATATCAGGTCAAATGTCTTGGTCACATGATCTGATCATATGACCTGGTCATGTGATCTGATCTTATGAAAAAGTCATATGATCTGGTCATGTCACTTGATCTTATGACCTGGTCATGTGACCTAATTTCATAGCCAAGTCATATGATCTAATCTTATGACCTGGTCATATGATCTAATCTTATGACCTGGTCATATGATCTAATCTTATGACTTGGTCATGTGACCTGATCTTATGACCAAGTCATCTGATCTGATCATATGACCAAGTCTTATGACCTGGTCATATGATCTGATGATATGACCTGATTGTATAATCTGATCATACGACCAAGTCATTTGATATAATTTTATGATCTGGTCATATGATCTGATCTTATGACTTGATCTTATGACCTGACCTTATGACCATATTATACATTTATATTTTATTTATAATGCAAAAAAAGTGAAAATTGTTCTTTAATCGGTCTATTAATTATTTTTTTCCAGGTGGAATGCAAAAAAGCACAGCCAAAAGAAGTGATGCTCCCGGCAAATTTGGCGAAGACGCGAGCGGCCGGCCGAGGTGCGTACGGTGAGTTGGTGATGGTCGCGACTCCCCCAACCACTTATCGTTATGCGCCGTATCCCCTGCCATCTGCAGCTGCAGTTCATGCTCACGCTGCAGCGGCACAAGCCACTCCACATCATCTGCTCGCGCCAATTGTTGCTAGTGCTGCTACTCCGGGATCTGCGGCTAGTTACCAATACGCAGCAGCAGCAGCAGCAGCCGCTGCGGCTGCTAACCCCACTGCTGCGACTGTTTATGATGTAAAACGGGCCCTGGCAGCCGCAGCGGCGGCCTATCGCCCGCACCCAGCTGCTGCGGCTGCTGCTGCTGCCTCACGAGCCGCTACTTTGACCTACTCCATGAGTGACCTTCTAGGAGTTCAGGGGTTGGATATGGGAACCGCGGTTTATCATCCGATACCTACTATTGGACTATGACCCACCATTTTGCCGTTGTCTAGACCTCAGTAAGGATAATGGCGGAACTTTACTGACCAGGACTGACTTTTACAGATACATTCCAGATTGGGGAGGTTAACACAAATTGTGGTGAAAGTCCTGGAAGGATTTTAGGAAAATTCTCATCAATTTTACCATATTTATTTCTCGCTATTCAGCTAAAATTTGAAGTTTGTGCCAAAAAAATAGATAGAAGAACTTGATTTTAAAAAAAGAAAAGCCTTTGCAGGATTTTCGCCACGGAAAACGCAATGTTCAACAAAACACTGTGATCGTAGTGTGACTTAGAAAAAAAAAATGTAGAAAATAATTAGATGACAGCTAGAAGTAGTGTACCGATCGCGGCCTCGGAAAAATCGTCAATAGTATTAGACTCATAGAAATGACGAGTCAGTTCAGCAACAAAAAGACTGGTAGGAAAATAATTAGGGACAATTAGACGAACGTAGACAGTAGCTGTAGCTTATATAGTTCTAGACAATAAACAAAGCGTTTAAAAAAAAAGACAAAAATACCTGGAGCTTGAAAGAAAATTACAGTTTAGAGTTGTTGAATACCGGCGTTCCGAAGATCCAATTCCAATGAATATAAATTTAAAAGGGGCTCTTAGAGCGTCGGAGGACACCTGGATTTATTATCGAACCGCGACGTGAATCGGTAACGACGTGTAGGTGGAAAACGACCGATGGAACAGTGCATTCTCTGCATTCGGATACTCTATAGATTTTCGTATGTAGTCGAAGGAAAGAAGGATAATAACTATGCCAGCTGCGAAGTACCTAATTCAGTTTCGCCGTAAGCCCACCGGCTATATCGAATAATTAAGTTTCGGCGTCTATCACAATTACCGCTAAAAGCACTTCAATTAAAATCCTATGGAACTTAATGCCTTCAGCTGGCGAAGCATGTCCGGGTATTCCACCAACTGCTTCTCGCTCTATTTCTCTTCCCATTTATTACTCTCCCCCTTATCAACCCTACCACCTCCCCCTTCGAGTAGAATTCGCGGCCACTAATAACTCGGGCAACAACAAATGATCATGTTCAACAAGATGTTCTTAGGAATACAATTCATTACATTCCTTGACATGACCATGTATGACCAGATCAAGTCATCAAGTCATATGACCAGATCATGTTGCCAGATCATATGACCAGATCATGTAGCTAAATCATATGACCCGAACGTAAAGTCAGATCATATGACCAGGTCATATGATCTAATAATATGACCAGATCATATGATCAGGTCATATAATCAGATCATATGACGAGGTCATATGATCGAATAATATGACCAGATCATATGATCAGGTCTTATGACCAGATCATAAGGTCAGATCATATGACCAGTTCATATGATCGGATAATATGACCAGATCATAAGGTCAGATCATATGACCAGGTCATATGATCAGGTGTTAAGGTCAGATCATATGACCAGATCATATGTCAGGTCTTATAACCAGATCATATGATCAGGTCTTATGACTAGATCATAAGGTCAGATCATATGACCAGATCATGAGGTCAAATTATATGACCAGATCATAAGGTCAGGTCATATGACCAGATCATATGGCCAAATTGTATGACCAGATCATGTGGTAAAATCATATGATCAGGTCATATGACCAGATGAATTTTTTCAAGGATTTTTTTCTCTTAAATAATAATTAATTATTAAAAAATTAATAATTTATAAAAATTATAAAACCTTAAATTAAAAATAAATCGCAAAATTACGCGAGCAGATTCGATAACGGAGTGGCTGAATTAACAAACTGTTGCGTTTTTACGGATAACATGAAATTTCATAACTTAAATACCAAAAAGTTATTAATCAAAATAATAAATAACAATAATAACAAATTATTTAAGATAAAGTATTTAATATTTATAAAATATTACATTAAATATTTAATAAAATTAAATAAAATCACAAATATATATGTGTATATCATAAGTGTTCAACATATGCTTTTACCTGTACGTACCTAAGTAATTTTTTTTAAAAACGGCAAATATTTACAAAGTATTTATTAAATATAAAAACAAATCTATATATATATAAAAATAAATATAAATATATATATAAAAAAATATACACATATATAAATTGATATATATATATATATATATATATCATATAAGACGAAAAAAAAAGATATATTGTTTTTTACCTACAATAGACTTTGATATAATTATATTGATATTGGATATATTTTATGAGTACCTAAAGCAAAATTAGAAATTTGTTTCACTGTAATTTATTTTGTTACTATTATTATTATTGTTTATTTTTTATTTTATTTTTTTTGTTAATAGATAAAACATATCAAGTATAATCTAGGCGAAATATGTCATAGTTTTAATGAATAATAAATAATATATTGTTTATTTATTAATTAAAAGTATAAACAACTAATTTAGGTTCCTAATAGGAAGTTATTCGATTAGTTAGTTTATAAAAGTTATTTATTATATTCAGTTATATTTAGTGAACTCTATGTTCACCTACTTTATTATTATTACTATTATTGATTAATATGTTATATTAGCGGTTTAGTATTTGAATAATAATAATAATTATATAAAAGCCGTTATAATATGCCGTTAGATTAGTTCATTTGTCATAGGTCGTTCTTTGTGGAAGTAGATTAGTCAATAAATTAAATACCTTTTTTTAATGTACGCCTCAATTTTGGGTGAGTACCATTTATATTATTATTTATGTCTTAGACAACTTTTTTTTTAATAATAATAATAATAATCATTCATATATGGCACATATGATCAATATATGGTTCATATATGGCATATATGGCACATATGATTAATATATGGTTCATATATGGCATCAATGCTATATATGATCCATATATGCCATATATGGCACATATGCCATATATGATCCATATATGGCATGTATGTGCCGTATATAGTCCATATATGGCATATATAATTCATCTATGCTTTCTATATGATACAAATGATCACTATATGGTTAATATATGGCATATATGGTCCATATATGGTGAATATGGCCCATATATGGTATATATCGTCTTCATATAATTACTATATGGCATTTATGGTCTATATATGGGATCGATATCATATATATGGCTTCTATATGACATATATGGCTCATATATGATTACTATATGGCATCCATGATCTATATATGGCATATATGCCATATATGAATTATATATAATTATAATATGGCAAATATGGCCCATATATGATTACTATATGGTATATATGGCATATATGGTTCATATATGGCATATATGCCATATACAATTTCTATATGGCAATTTTTAGAATTCTCAAAATTTTTCGATAAGCATAATCATAAAATGAATCGAAAATCAAAAATTATCCGCCCAAAATTTTTCTACACCCTATATATTTATTTCTTTTCCCCTTACCTAAAAAATTGAGGTGCAAAAAATCAAAATACCAAATGCAACGAAGCTTCCACTGAGAACGAGCATAGGCTGTAATAAAATAACAATTATAAAGAACGTTTAAACGACGATAATAGTTATAAAAACGTATTTAATGATACCTTGTAGCGGTATACGCTAATTATAACCTGTATTTTTCTCCACCACTTCTACTACTACTACTACTACTACTACTACTATTACTATTACTATACTATTTATCATTAAAAACATCTATTCGTACACATATTACTAGGCTACTTATTGCTGAACCTATTATTTATATTATTACTATCTATTGTTAATTAATAGCGTGAGACGTGTGTTTTAGAATAACTTAAAGTCTAAACAAAGTATCTAAGCCCGAGGGCGCAACACTCGTAAGTAGACAAAGTAATTTATCAGGTTGATTAGAAAGAAAAATTATCAGAAATAATAGTTATGAATATTAATTTTTTTTCTGGTAATTTTTTTTTGCTAGTGCTTGGGGTGTGGTACCAAATGTCAAAAAAAAAAAAAATAATTAATTAATTATGTAACCTAAATTTTTTATAATCGCTGTTTTAAATAAAATCTTAAATAAATAAAAATTAATAAATAAAGTGTAATCAATGATAAAAGTATTGACAAGAATAATTATTTACTTAATTAATACTTAAACAATGATAATAATTCGTAAAATGACGCTTCACGTCAGATTTGACGTCATACCAGCCCAGTAGTGATTTTTAGGTACGAATTTAATTAAAACTTAATTACTTATACTTATATATATATTACATAAATATTTAATATTTATACTTACATGGTTATTGATGAGTGTTAATTATAGTTAGATATGACCGCTATTGCCATCTGTGAGAAACAAATTTATACTATATTTATATCTAATGATAATTAAGATTAGAGATAGCGAGTCTGTAGTGTATTATTAGTTGTGATAATAAGTGTTTTTATTAAGTTGGTTAATTAATATATTGTTAATTAAATGTAAATCGTCGATATAAGTGTCTGTAGTCTATATATAATTAGCCATATTTATTATAAATTGGAAAAGTTTTTTTTGATCGGATCTATAGATCTCATAATTGTGATTTATAGATTAAATAGTAGAGATACGGAAAAATGGTGAGGGCTTTTTTGTAGGAAATTTAATTTGCTATCGAAAGTGTTCTTATCAGTTTTTTGATATCTCTTACCGTTTAGACGTAATTAAAGTTTTAAATTCTGAAATTTTGGACTTTTTGAGGACCGTCCGCAAAATAAAGAAATTAAAATTGCAATTTCTGGGATAAATATTAAAGATACAAATGTGTCCTTGTAATTTTTTTGATGTCTGTTATCATTTAGCCAAAATAATAATTTAAAAACACTTTTTGAAACTTTTTAGGGACGGTCCGCAAAATTAAGAAATAAAAATTGCAACTTCTGGGTTAATATTGACGATACAAAAGTATCCTTATCATTTTTTGTATAATCTCTTATTATTTAGCCAAAATTTTTAAAGCTTTTAGGGACGGTCCT